TCTTTATCCTGCAGCGTCCTGGATACTCTACCAACTAAGTTGTATAGAGCCAATTCTGCTGATTTTCCCGCTTGATAAGCATACTGGTGGCGACTCAGTGGACCAGATACCAATGGCACCGTACGGATATATCGTTCCAGAACTTTTTCAAGGGTTTTCAGCAGAAATGACGTTAGGCTGATGGGTCGAAAGGCATTAGAAGTAGGGACCTACAAAGATATCAAGTGAAAGCTATTAAAAAACTATCAAAGTAAATGTCAATAAATCTAAATTTCTCTTCGTACAAAGTCTTAACTTCTTTTTAGGAACATCCCCATAGCTCTTGTTTTGGAAATTATTAATGAAAATTTTGATTGTGTGTTGGAGCATTTTGATGTTGATAAATTTGTTCTTAAGGACTATATCCACTATTTGTGATAACACTTTTTTCACATTCAACGGTGTTACATACAAACAAATTTTTGGTATATCCATGGATTCTCCGATTTCTCCCATTCTGGCTCAAATCGTAATGGATCATGTGTTAAACAAAATTTTACCTACGTTAAACTTTGAAGTGCCCTTTTTAAAAAAGTATGTTGATGACATAATAACTTCGGTCGATGAAACTGCTTTGGTTTCGATCTTAGACAGTTTCAATAAATATAATAAGTTTATACAGTTTACTTTGGAGAAGGAAAATAACAACTCTGCTCCATTTTTTGATGCAAAGGTCATCAGAGACAACGATAACAAAATTAAATTTGATTGGTATACGAAACCGACATTTTCAGGAAGATATATACATTTTACTTCATCACATAAAATAAAACACAAAGTTAACACGGTTTTAGCTATGAAATATGCGGTTTTAGTAGAGTAAAGAACGCTCCATTATAAAAGTTAATACGAAAAATAATAAACGATTTAATAAGAATTAAAAAGTATACAAAACAATTGTGTAAAAACTAGATTCTCGTACAGCTTTATTAATAAAATAAATTAAAACTCTATTCGTGAGTCTTTTATTAGTTAAAAGACTAATACATGATATTAAATGAATTTTCCGAAAGTTGAGATTGTTGGTTGGTGCTTGGCTTGGCAGGGTTCAGATTCGACTTCCTTTTAATTCTGTCTTTTAGCTGTCCGGATCACCAAATTAGTAAGGCCAATTTTGTTAGGCATATCAACTGAATTTTTGAGAATCTTGGTATGATATCTACAATGTGTTAATTAATTTTCGTACCCGACGTCATCATTGCAAGTATGCAACCAATATCACAGTATTGGTATTGCAATACGCAAATCGCGTATACTGTGATATTGGTTGCATACTTGCAATGATCACGTCGGGGTCGTCGGGTACGATAATTAATTAACACACTGTATGCCATATTGTAGTTTAAAATATCTAGTTTATGAATTGAGATCAAAATTATAAGACAATATTATTGAAATTTCCAGAAAAAAATTATTAAAGAAGAAATTGTACAATTTATAAATCACAAAAAACGCGAAATTTTCAAAAAATCATATCAACTGTATTTTTGAGAATCTTGATATGATATGTTTGTTAAATTGTCGCTTAGAGATTCTAATTTATGATGTGATACAAAAACTGTTAGATAATATTATTAAAATTTACTGAAAAAATTTATTAAAGGAGAAACTACTTATTGAGGTTATAGCGAAAACTGAGGAAATTTAAAAAATCGTATCTCAACCGACAATTGAGATATCACGATTAAATAGTAAGAAGTTTAGAGGAAATTTAATTTTGCCAAGATCAAATGTAATAAACTTAACAACAATTCAAAATTTAAACTTATAAAGAAGATTTTGCGGGGTGAGAAAAAGAGACATTTTATACAATTAAATGTTACATATGAAAAACTTGCCTTTACACAACGAAAGCTACGCACACAACTTCATTACCTACACATTGAAGAAATTACGATGCAGGCCATCGAAGAAGCTAAAGAACATAGTCGAGAAGATAGAAGAAGAAAAAGAAACAAACTTAATAACTTGAAGAAGAATGCAATTAAAAAGAAACCTATAGTTAATAATCATAATGTAAGTGACGGTACAATTGATCAATTTAAAAACCTTACAAACATTCATTTCAGTCAGACAGAAAAAGATCTACTTAACAAAGGACACAAATTTGCCTTGTCTCCAAGGGTTGAGTTAATAAATACAGCTATCAATCTAGATATTATTATTAAGAACAATCCTAATTATTATAATTGTTGTTTTCTTTTGCTTTTAATGGTCCATTGCCAAGACAAACACGCCACAACAACAGGAATACATCAAAGGATTACAGAAATAATCAGAAACCATTAGCGATTACAAATAACAGAAATAAAGCATGGTGAAATTTATATTTATAAGATTAACGAATTCTTCCTGAAGATGAGGACTCGTATCCTCGAAACATGTAGAGAATGAAATAAACATATAACATCGATAAAGTACAAAATAATTCAACCTTCACATACAATCCTAATTATGACGATATAAAAAACGATTTATTACATTTTTTAAATAACAGAAACAAAACTAAAATCGCTAATACATCTGTTAAAAAAAATTTCGAAAATTGGAAAATTATTACATCTATAAAACATAAATTAAAAGAGAAAGACGATGTGTTTGTTAAAGCCGACAAAGGAGCGGGCATAGTTATTTTAGATAGAAACATGTACTTACAAAAGACCTATGATTTTTTGAATTCCAATAGTTATAAGAAAATTACATTTAATCCTTTAGACAAAATAATGAGAAAAACTAGAGAGATTATAAATAATTGTAAAGCAACCTTAGCCGAGTACACCCCTTTTTTCAAAAATTCTGATAGAAATTTTCAAGCTTCTTATTTTTTAGAGATTAAACCTAATTTACCTACAATTTATACATTGCCTAAGCTCCATAAAAAAGATATGCCCATCAGGCCCATTACTAATTTTGGTAATTCACCTACACGTAAACTTATTAACTTTATGTCCAATATTTTTAAACAAATACATTTCAAACCTGTTTTTAAAACAGATAATTCTAATCATTTCATAAATTTAACTAACAGCATCAATGTTGATGATTGTGTTCTAATCTCTTTCGACGTCACTAATCTTTATCCCAACGAACCTCTAGATTACACACTTAATATTGTTTCTAATTTATTTACTTCACATTTCAATAATATAAATGAAGTCCAGGATTTTAATACGGTTATCAAACATATTGTTTCACAGAACTATTGCTGTTTCAATGATGAATTCTTTGTTCTTTCGGATGGCCTTCCTATGGGGATGCCATTGTCGGGATTACTAGCTGAAATTTTCTTGAATGATATTGAGAACAAACATATTATGAATCCTATCAACCCTTTTTTGAAGAATATTGTAGCTTGGTCCATATGTGGATGATATTTTTTGCATTTGGAGAGGCGATATCAACATTCTTAACAACTTTCATGATTATATTAACAATTTACATGCTAAACTTAATTTTACTCTAGAAATTGAAAAACGTAAAATGATTAACTTTTTAGATTTAACTTTAACTAGAAATCCTGTTGGTCTAATCGAGTATAATATCTTAAGGAAACCCTCCACTATATCAACTACCATTCCTTACGATTCATTACATCCACATCAACACAAATTTGCTAATTTTCGTTTCTTAATTAACAGAGTTTTTGATTATCCTTTATCTGAACGTAATAAAATTAAAGAAATTAACTTCATTTACAAACTGGCTCGCGACAATGGCTGCCCTATACACAAAATTAATCAACTGTTTAATAAAAATCGTATTCAAAAAGACCCCTTATTCACTACAGATAAGTCCGACAATATAATATTTGATAAACCTTTACCTTTCAACACTTTAACTGCTAGGTAGATTCTTTTCCATTTTTAAAAAGTACAATATCAACATTGCTTTTTCAAACCGTAATACTATCCTCAATTTGTTATCTAATCATACTAAAAGAGTTTTTAATATACTTGAAAAAAGTGGCGTGTATTCGGTTGGTAACTGTAAAAGTAAATTTATTGGTCAAACGGTTAGGAAATTGGAAACTAGGATTCGAGAACNTGTCTACGAATACAAAACAATTGTGTAAAAACTAGATTCTCGTATAGCTTTGTTAATAAAGTAAAGTAAAACTCTATTCGACTTCCTTTTAATTCTGTCTTTTAGCTGTCCGGATCACCAAATTGGTAAGGCTAATTTTGTTAGGCATATCAACTGTATTTTTGAGAATCTTGGTATGATATCTACAGTGTGTTAATTAATTTTCGTATCCGACGTCATCATTGCAAGTATGCAACCAATATCACAGTATTGGTATTGCAATACGCAAATCGCGTATATTGTGATATTGGTTGCATACTTGCAATGATCACGTCGGGGTCGTTGGGTACGATAATTAATTTACACACTGTATGTCATATTGTAGCTTAAAATATCTAGTTTATGAATTGAGATAAAAATTATAAGACAATATTATTGAAATTTCCAGAAAAAAATTATTAGAGAAGAAATTGTACAATTTATAAATCACAAAAACGCGAAATTTTCAAAAAATCATATCAACTGTATTTTTGAGAATCTTGATATGATATGTTTGTTAAATTGTCGCTTAGAGATTCTAATTTATGATGTGATACAAAAACTGTTAGATAATATTATTAAAATTTACTGAAAAAATTTATTAAAGGAGAAACTACTTATTGAGGTTATAGCGAAAACTGAGGAAATTTAAAAAATCTCAACCGACAATTGAGATATCACGATTAAATAATAAAAAGTTTAGAGCAAATTTAATCTACTTTTAGTGCACCAATATAAATCTAAGTAGTTTTTACGATTTTTTTAATCACACCTGTATATTTGATGCTTGAGTTGTAGCGTAAAGTTTAATACATAACGTTTTAATAAAACACTTGTAATAATTATAATTATATAACCTTACATTAATTTTATTATTAAATAAACATAAAATCTTTATTATAAATATACATCAACATTTATTGTATAAAAGAAATAATAATAATATCGTTTCCTTTTATTATTATCACGCCTAATAATCATTAATCCTATTACTTCTTTGGAGCAATAATTCCTTCTAATTGAGCCTTTAATTGTTGATTTGTCTTTTTCAAAAAACCAATTTCCTCGGCATGTTTCTTTTCTTCGGCCGCTCTTAATTCAGCCGATCTTCGATCAGCTTGTTCGGCTCTTTGTCTTAAATCGGTCAACTGCTTCTCCAAATCGACTTTTTCTAATTTTAAAATATCGACGTCATGTTCCAAATCGGATTTCCCTTGTTCGGATTGCAAAGCTTTCCTCATTCCAAAAGCAATACTACTACAATATAAAGCTTGATAAGCTTCGATCGTCATTCGCATTTCATCGCGAATTCTTAACAATAACAATCCCCTTTCTGCGCAGTTTATCGTTACTTGTCGAATAATTTCATCGAAACATTGAGTATAAAGTTCTCTTCGAATCGGACAAATTCCCGTTTCGCGAGCTTGGCGTTGTTGTAGTTTCATATCGAGTTGTTCTTGGAGGTTTACAACATCTAAACGAGTCGCGGGGATTGTTGAAACTTGTTGACGCCATACTTGACCGCCTTCTTCCCATTCTTTCGGTGGGAGAATTGTGTTAAGAACTTCTTCGGTTTCACGACGAACATCTGCCGTTGGTGCGGCTGTTTTTGGTTTTGCATCACCTGCACTAGCATCTCCACTCTTAAAATAAAAAAGTTAAATCATAAAACTAATTTATTTAATCTTGTTACGATGATTTAAAATTACCTTTTCAGGTTCGGCATGTCTTGTAAGTAAAACTGGGTTTTCATAACGAACTAATGTGAAGTCGTCTTGTAGCATACGTTCACTCATCTTGTTGGTTTGTGTTTATTTTGTGTCGAGTTTTGGTTTTATATTTATACGTTTTGGTTTTGGTTTAAAAATTGCTAAAGAAATCTTGTTGATGGTTGTCTGATTTGATTGATCGATGAAACTGTTTCGTTGAAAGATATGGCACTGTTTCTAAGGCGATTTAAATATCTGTTTACATTGTGGTTAAATTGGTTGTCTATGTGCGCAAAAATTATTAATAAACGTATCTATACATATTTATTAAGTCTATTAAATAAAACAAATTAAATAAAGTATCACACGAGGGATGAATCTAAGGAATCCGCGTTCCTATACAATTGTTCCTAACTAAGTTCAGAAAAACAATTAACATCCAAAAGCCTTTCTAGCCGTATCAAATTCTAAGTCTGCACCGAGATTGTAATCAAAATAGTTATCGAAGTTCAAATAATTAAGTTCAACGAATCATCATGTTTTGTAAAATAATAAAGAAGCTAGTTAAGGGAAGTGGAAAGTTTTTCATTGCAAGACCTATATACCAAGGAATCCAACAATTCATTTCAATTTTGACAGGTAACTTATATTAATATACGTATATTTCATATTATCCAAATATTACAAGAATCCATTGATATTCTGATACTTATATTAGTTTGTAGTGTTGCAGATACTCAAAATGGAATGGATTAATGATTTAATGATGGAATTCATCCATCTATATGACAGGTATCCTGTGCTTTGGAATCCCAAGGACCCACACCATAAAAACCGAAACAAATTAAACGACAGAAAAAGAAATCTCTTATGTCGACGTACAGATCCTTATCAAAAAAGTTCGAGAATCTGAAAGTAGTGATTCTGGATGCAAGGATGTTTATTTCCAAAGGTATTTACGAGTTTATATGAATAATTTTAATGCACACAAATTCCAACAGAGCTAACACTAGACATAGATAAATGAAAAATATACAAAAATGTAGCGCTGAGTAACAACTAGAACTAACACTGGATCTAGAACTAGAAACATTCTAGATCAACAAAGTACAGACTAATGATGGCTTACATCCGCATCAAACAATAACTTTTTGTGGATGTAGTTTTGTTCCGAAGTCCATCCAGCAACAAGTGCAAGCCTAAGTCTTAACGCAAAATTAGTTTCTAACGAAGTTTTATCATAAAATGTGCTGCTCAATCGTGTAACTTGCCATGGTGGTTTGGTATCAGTGACTCAATCATACTACAGATTTGACAGGCGCCACCAAAACAATATGGTCACCACAGACTCAATACTCACATATAGTACAATGTGTGTTGTCTAATTTATATTGATATAATGTCAAGTGCATTATCTCGACAGCAAGTGGTCTTGGTTAACTTAATGACAAAGAAAAAATCACCTAATCTTCTCTTTAATAAACGAGACGCCTTGTGATCGAGGCGCCATAATAAATACATACCACCAGTGATGTGAATTTGTAAATTACCAAACAAATTTTTCATAAATTACCGCTAGGAGCTAGGATGTATTTGCGCATGCGCTTTCTGTGTTTTGATAATGCGGTAAAATCCCTATAAGAAACTATAGCAAGTAGTCTAGACGAAAATATTAAACGTAACATTTTAAGCGATATATTCAAGGAGAAACTTGATACATAATATAAAATTTTAAATCCCATTTCAGTAATTTTAAAAAATGTACAAACTTCCCAACCTTGCATTTCTCATGTTGTTGACTATTTTCAAAATTTGAATGATAATGACAAAGTGAATGCCCAGTTTTAAAAGTAAAAACAATTCTATCACTTTTAAAAGCACGAAGTGATATGGCTGTAACACCATTAAGCCGCGTTGACATGGGTTGTGAATCACGAACAAGAGGCACCCGCGTGGTATCACGAATCTAATTATTTTACGACTGTGGTCATGCCTCTTTCGTGAAACGGTTTTACACGGTAGGTATTTGCTTCAGTCGCGAATATGCAGTGCTTGGTGGCAGGAGCATGTCAAGTTTTGTGTGGTGTGATAACAGACAGGATTTCACAAAATTTGGCAAAAAAAAGAAAGAAAAGACGATAGTGGACAAGGAAATGGATTCTACAAAGCAGTCATACTAGTTTAATGAAAGACATCTCCAAGTACCCTGAAGATTTTAAAAATTTGCTTTGAATGTCGGAATACCATTTTAATTATTTATTGGAACTCGTTAGCCCCAAAATTCAAAGAAAATCCACTAATATGAGAGAAGCTCTATCGGCCAAATTGAAACTGCAAATAACACTTCGATATTTAGCTACTGGAGACTCTTTTAAAAGTTTAGAATATTTATTTAGAGTACCCAAATCATCGATAAGTAAATTTATAGAAGAAGTTTTAGATGCAGTGTGTGATGCTCTAAAAGAATTTATCAAGGTAAGTAAAAACGTTATTTAATTCCAAACGGTATTCTTATTATTGGTATGGCAACTAGACTTTCCTCTAAATTCTCGTATAGTTTTCGTAGGCTCATGGGGGGCACATTTAAACTATAAAATATTTTAAACAGAAAGGTAATAAAAAGTCATGGTTTGCAAAACATATATTTCCCAAAGCAAATACATAGAAGTATTTGTATGTTTATTTGTAAGTACATTTGCTAATTGCGCATGGCCGAAGTTAACTCAGAGATCAAATGATCCTGTATATCTTCTGCAGCTGAAAAAACAGAATCTTGAGTCCAGTTTTGAATATTTTCAATCGATGGTGGTCCACTTTGAATACTTTCCGAGTTTGTAGTCGAATTTGTAATGAAATTTGAGTTC